GGGGGTGGTGCTGGTGAGGTGGGTGTACTAAGTGAGCGGGGTGTAGTTAGTGAGCGGGGCGTAGTTAGTGAGCGGGGCGTAGCTAGTGAGCGGGGCGCAGTTAGTGAGCGGGGCGTAGCTAGTGAGCGGGGCATAGTTAGTGAGCGGGACGTAGTTAGTGAGCGAGGCGTAGCTAGTGAGCGGGACGTAGTTAGTGAGCGGGGCATAGCTAGTGACCGGGACGTAGTTAGTGAGCGGGGTGTAGTTAGTGAGCGGGACGTAGTTAGTGAGCGGGATGTAGTTAGTGAGCGGGGCGTAGTTAGTGAGCGGGGCGTAGTTAGTGAGCGAGGCGTAGCTAGTGAGCGGGGCGCAGTTAGTGAGCGGGACGTAGTTAGTGAGCGGGACGTAGTTAGTGAGCAGGGTATAGTTAGTGAGCGGGGAGCAGTTAGAGAGCGGGGCGTAGTTAGAGAGCGGGGCGTAGTTAGTGAGCGGGGCGTAGTTAGTGAGCGGCATGTAGTTGGTGAGCGGGGGATAGTTAATGAGGGTGAAGTGATTTGATGGGATACAGGCAGCCATTTTTAATGCGGCAGATGTAACATAATACAATTGGGGAATCCAACTACATTGTTCAGTCCTCACTTTTTGCTCTTTCACTTACTGCCGGGACTTCCTGTAGCGGGGGTGAAATGTCCTTGGAGGGGGGCAAGCTCTTTGTACTCTGTGTGTTTCCTTCATCTGGTAATTGGACGTTGAGCTGCAATGCCGTTCCATCTGGTAATGTCAGCTGATGATTTGTTTTCTGCAGAACCCGATCTCGTGCTGCGATAAAAGTATAACAAAGAAAAGAGCGCAAAACCATCAGTGTAAATTCACCAAAACCTGGAATCCGCACTCCGGAAATAGTGACGGCAACCACAATCCCGCTATGAACGCTCTCACAAAGCCGAAGAGGGTTTATTTATAGGGATCACCCTCCAGTCCTCAGTACTTACCTGTCTCCTCCTTGTAGTGTATGAGGATCCCCCTCCAGTCCTCAGTACTTACCTGCCTCCTCCTTGTAGTGTATGAGGATCCCCCTCCAGTCCTCAGTACTTACCTGTCTCCTCCTTGTAGTGTATGAGGATCCCCCTCCAGTCCTCAGTACTTACCTGCCTCCTCCTTGTAGTGTATGAGGATCCCCCTCCAGTTCTCAGTACTTACCTGTCTGCTCCTTGTAGTGTATGAAGATCCCCCTCCAGTCCTCAGTACTTACCTGCCTCCTCCTTGTAGTGTATGAGGATCCCCCTCCAGTCCTCGGTACTTACCTGTCTCCTCCTTGTAGTGTATGAGGATCTCACTCCAGTCCTCAGTACTTACCTGTCTCCTCCTTGTAGTGTATGAGGATCTCCCTCCAGTCCTCAGTACTT